AAAAAAAAAAAAAAAAAGAGTTTACTTGAGCAAAATTCCATTACCACTGGGCACAGTGCCAAACCGGAAGTGGCTAGGAGTGCTCCACCCACAGGAGCCCGGCCTCACCACCCCTGCACAACGAAAGGAAACCATAGATGGAGTCATTACCTGTAGCCCATGGAGGTGTTGGACGCAACCCTGACTTTGAGACTGAAATACTAGACCTCCCAGTACAAAATTCATGCATCTGCTGGCCCTTCCATGAAAACATACTGATTTGACTCTTCTTTTAAGGTCATCCCAGAAAACAAGACCGGCGTGTATTGTCAGGCCTGACTGGGTACCTGGTACTGAGCTCGCCCTACGGTCATATTGAACTATGAACGGGACGGCACCATCTGGGGCAGCAAGCAGTTCCCCCGCACGGAACAAAGGCAGAGCCAGACCCGAGCCTCCGGAGAAGAGAAGCGGGAAGCACAGTGGTCACCCTTCCTGTGCGGAGCACGTGGCCGCCGCCGTGGCCCCCGCGGGGGCACAGGGTCTCGGTGAACTGAGCGGGAGCCCTGAAGTTCTGGAGCGGCTGCGAGTCATCATCGGGCAGGGTCTGGGGGAAGAGGCTGCCCTGCAGAGAGGTCTGGAAGGCTGCGTGTGGATTCCCCCCGGGCTCTGCGCCCTGGGACTGACTGGGCCGGGAGCTCCGGGCGGGTGGAAGGGCCTTACGGAGGCCCGCGGGCATGAGAAAGGCCAGAAGTTAAAAACTGAAATACATTTGCCGTGATAAGGAGTAAAGCCAAGCCTGACAAGATCAAACAAACGCAACTCCAGTAACCTCCGTGCCCGTCCAAACAAAACTCTTGAAATGAGGATGACCTGACCCATGCTCCTTATCCCTCCGAGGCCTGGAAGAATCCAAATTCATTAGTTTGAATGCAACATTTGCATCAGGGCCGAGTTTGCCCTCTCGGTGAGAGCACGGAATCTCACGGAGCACCAGCCCCTGGCGGCGGGTGCAGGCCTCGTACCACGTACCCCGGGGGGCGAGGCATCCGGGGAGCGGCTTGCGCGCGGCCCCTGACTCCTGTGGGCTGTGGGTGCTCAAGGCAGAGGCGTCCTTCGAGGGCCGGAGACGCCGGCTGCCGGCGCGGGTGTGGCGACTGAACGTTGCAGGGGCTGTTAGGGTGTGGGTCGGGGTACAAACTGGAAAGGTAATCGGAAAGATTATTCCGAAGTCCCACTGCCTTTTTCCGAATGCGTTAGCGGGAAGGATGGTCAGGTGGTCCTTACCCTTTCCGTGGAGATCTTGTCTGCGTCGGCTCGGTGCCCGGTTTTTCCAGGCCGTGCTAATTGTCAGCTTTTAGAACCGCCTGGAGAGTAAGCAAGCAAGCGGTCACTACTCTCGCTGAGAAAATGCACTGACGGCAGTTTTGTTGCTGACCCCTCCTGGCTGTCCTGTCTGTAAGTCGGGCGAACCGTCTGCAGGTGAGGCGCGGGGAGGACGAGGGCAGGCGGGTCTGTGACTCGTCTTCCGTATCTGGTAAGGAACCGGTGGTCCGGGAGGTGGGAGGGATCTGCAGGGAGCCCGTGTGCCCCGAGACACCTCACCAAGGCCTTTTCGATTCAAAAATGCAGTCTGTCCAGGCTCAGTGTGCCTCCTGTTGGATGGAAGCCGGGATACGTGGACTGTTTTCCCAGAGGGATGTTTGAATTTATGGGCATTTACCATAAGGACGTGAGGTTGTATTGGAAAGGATAGGCAGGAAGAGCCAGTTAGCTCGTTACACTGGTGATGCCATCGTAATTGCCTCCTCGGGGGATGCGCAGGAGGGGGAAGAGCTGTAGTCACCTCCCTGACAAACGCCGGCTGATGGATAAATGCAGCTAAACTGCAAAGCACATTGAAATTCCTGGGAATTACACGGGTTGGAGCGGCCACGGCCATTACCATTGGGCAGGGAAGGACACAGACTGTGTGACTGGCCTGAAACCACACAGCTATCCTGGTGGCTTTATACATGAGAAGCCTGATATTTAGACAGTGAACTTATAGGGGCATTTACAGGCTGAGGAGGGACCGTAAGTTTTCTGACTGTCAGCTTAACGTGGTCAACCACACCAAAGTGAATTTTTGATTTATGAAATATTTCAGTTGTATAGATGATTTAACAAATACCCATTCACCCATCATGGAGATAAACAAACTTAATATTTTGTTCATATTTGCTTAAGAATACTTAAATGTAACTGTCCGTATCTCGTTGAACAGCCGTTTGAACTCTTTCCCATCTCACTACTCACCCTCCCTCTCAAGAAGGAAATTATTGATCGTGAAATTGGTGCGTATCCCGCTTGCCCACATTTTTCCTTTTTCATTACATTATGTATGAATTCTCACTTTCAGTTCTAGTCACCTAGTGATTTATTGATCTACGTCGGTGCCAGTCCCCCAGTGCTTGAATTCCTCTGGTTTTGCACAAAGTTTTGTAGGGCCAGTTCTTCCTTGTACTTCAGACTGACTTCAATTATTCTTGGCTCTTTATTCCTATAAGAAATTTGAAGTCAGCCTGCGACGTTTTGAAAAGTACACAAAAAACACCTGTCGAGAAGCTGATCAAAATGGCTTTGAACTAAAAGATTAACAGAGCACTCTATTTTAAGATACAGAGTCTTCTCTTAGATGTACCTACACAGCTAAGTGTGACTTAATGGCATTTTGTTTAGGATATTCACGTCAGTGTTCACAAAGAAGTTTGGTATAAAATGTGATTTTATTATACTGCTGCCTTCTGGTTTTATTAAAATAATTAGAATACACGTGTGAAGTAGATTGAGGATCGCCCTCTTTTCTCGTTCTGTGATAAAGTAGTCTATATAAAGTCGGAATTCTCTGTTCCTTGAAGGTGTGTAAAACCCATCCATAAAACCACCAGGGCCTGATGTACCTCTATTCATAGTGCCGTGGAGTTATTAAATCAGTTCCTTAATGTTTTCACGTTCTTCTATTATTCTATTTCTTCTTGAGAAAATTATGGTAATATATCTTTCAAAATTGGTAGCATCGGTTTTTTCTTTGAATTTTCTTATGATTTCTTTTAAATCCCTGTAGAATCTATATTTGAGGCCCTGTTTCATGCCCAGTGTTAACTTGTTCTTCTATGTTTTTATTGATCATTTGGCTAGAGGTTTGTTTTACTTATTTATGTCTGGAGGATACTTCATTTGACAAGAGAATTTCATTTTTTAAAATAAATATTAAACATGTCAGCAACATAGAAGTTGAGTAGTTTTGGAGGTCAAAATTGTCATATAAATATTTCTTCTATCAAAGTCTAATATTAGAGTTTCGGCCTTTCGATAGAGACAGATTCAGATTTCTCCAATTTAGACTCATTCTTTATGCTTCGAAAATAGAAGGACGTTTTTCTAACAAGCTCTTCTAACTATTTAGTTGAAATCAAAGAGTGGATTAAAGTAGTTTCTGGTCAACTCTTTCAACTGGTCAAAATGGCTCAGGGGAAAGAGACTAAAGGGACGGCTGTCCCATGGAAGACTGAACAGCTCTCAGGGACCCACAACTAAGCCAAAAGAGAGATAGAGACACCTATTGGCGGGGGGGTGGGGGGGGTGCTGGGTACTGAGGCGAGAATGTGGAGAAATATATCAATTCTAAGCTACAAGTCTGGAGAAGATCTGTGGATGAAGCTATTCACATAGTGAACTGTTGGAATCGAATATATAAGAAGCCTACTAAGTTTTTGAGAGAGAGATCCTAACAAAGGAAGAACCAACTTGGATTGTAGACAAAATATGACTACCTGGCAATTAAATTAGCCTTGAGTACTCCAGCATCTATAGACAGGAAGTGGGCTGAGAAAACCACTCATCTGCAAGGAGGTCAGATTCTGCAATTTGCAGTTCAGCTGTGGCAAGGCAGGGAATGGAAAAATAAAAGCCTCCAAATGGCAGAGCCAGGGACTCTTGAGAAGAGTGGGTTGGGGAGTCAGAACAATGAATCAAATGGGGGCCTAATCAAAGGATATATTCCCTGCCCTCATGGTAGAAGGTGCTCCTGACATTTCACAGTGAAATTTTAGAATTGCTATGTATTAATAACAGCTCAATGTCTCCTTGTCCTCTTTCTGAAAGGGAGTATTCCAGTGGTAATCCTGTCTATTCCATTATTGTGTATTGGGTTTGTTCAGGACACATGACTGGTCTTTTGAGTTCATCGATCTTTGAATTAAGACATGCCACATCTGGTTCTTGGTTGCAGACTATGGCTTACCACTCCTTCGAGGAGAAATTACCACACTTTACCCAACAATCTTGAACTTTGATCTTGATCCTGCAATGAAACTGGGTTTTGTTGTGGTTATTGTTGTTGTTTGAGTTAACTTCCAGGAGACAGGCTGAGCTTATCTTGGTCAAAGAAATGGGATAGTGTCCAATTTGGTGATGAGAAGGTCAGATGTGTTAGTAATTAGTGCTATTGACCAAATTATTTCCATGTCTTTGCTTTCCAGATACACGTTAGTTTTGTATTTAGCTGCCCTTTTGGAGATGAGGCACAACCACATAACTTGTGGTCCACAAATATGATGGGAAGTGACCTACAACTCCTCCTGGGAACATTAAGAACCCATGCGTGATTGATCTCTTCTGCTACCACAGTGACCAGTGACATTGGAGACAGTGGGTGTTCTATCAGCCTAGAATAAGATGCTGGACACCAGGCACCCTGACAATCTGCAATGGACAAGCGGCGTGAACAAGAAATAAAGTTTTGTTGTCATCATCACTAAGGTTCTGAGGTTGTTTGCTACCTATCCCGATGAATATAATGGAGAATTTGGCAAGATATAAAGCTCTAAGAATTGAAGATATAAAACTCCAAGAATCAGCACTTTTCTGAGAGGAAAGTTCAGAAAAGGACACATTGAAGTTCTTAATAACCACGTTAAAACATTACATATTCTTTAATGTACATCCAAAATTTGAGTTTATGAAAATGAAGTTACTTGCTTATTGACATATTTATGGAGACACTGCAAAGCCTCCCACTGTGGAAGATGAGATGAAAGAACAGCTCTTAGCCTACATGAAGGAAACTTCCAGATTAATGGTAAAGGCAAGTAGTCCCAAACTAGTAAGATAAAACTATTTACATTAAGATGTGAACTATATGTTTATTCAAATCACTTAGAGACTCACATTAATCTACATGGGGCAGAATGAAAAACCCGTAACAGCTGTGTTCTTTTAAATTGTACTGTTATTTTTCTAAGTGCAGTTCAGCACCTGATTCAAAGGTAATCTAAGCCTCTGAAAACAGCGGTCCCGCCCACCCTGCCACAGATACCAGCGCCATCCAATGGATAAAATGAGTCCATGAGCAACAAGCTGGGGCTGGGGCTGTTTCTAAGAGGAGCAAGGAGTGGTTTTTAAATCATTTAAGAAATGTCTTCAGTTGTAGCCAGCACCAAGTGCTGAGGGAGTGATGCCCTATTTTCTGTTGCATCATCCCAGGAGACCCCACAGCATTCCTTCAGCTCTTCCCAGACCAGCAAGGTCATCCCCTTGTAGCTGAGCTGTAGTCTAGAAGGAGTCATTAGCTCCTCTTCTGTGGCTTGCTCTTCCTCCCGAGGGAGAGACAAAACAATCCTGAGGCAACCTTACCTGGTGAACGGAGTTACAGAGAGGACCGGGAGCATTCACTTTCTTATTCTTTTCCTGCACTTAAATAAGTCAATCTCTTTTTATTCCTTATAAGTAACTGGCTTTAAGTCTTCTCAATTTAGTTGATACACATGAGGAGGTTATGGAGAAACAAAATAGGCTATCTGTATCCTTCTTACGGACCTAGAAGTCACTTACATGAGAACTTTAAGTATCCTTAAAATAAGTTTTGCTTTAATTCTACAGTTTTACGAAAGACATGTTTATTTTTGATTTAGAGAGAGATATGATTGAAATAGATCCAGCTACTTGCATTCCAGAATGAATGATTGCTTCTCTCGGTATCATAAGACCTCTTTGACCAATCATATATTTTTCTACTTAGAACCTATATCCAAAATCATAGATCATAGTATTAACATATTAAATGCTTAGAGAAATGAGCTCTTTTGGTCAACTGGATACTTTAGGCTCAAAGTAAATATTTGAACTTTCATCAAATGTTGTAGTAGAGCAAGATACTG